GCGGATATGCCTCCTTGCTTACCGCACGAACTAATGACACTGAAACCACGAGATGTTGCTCAGATGATTTTGAAATACCGTGATCGGCTGGCGGTCTCACTACCCCAGAGCTCTATTGACTTGATTGTGGATCAACACAAACAACTGCTGAAAGTTATCAATCGTGAGCAAAAAATCCGGAATGCGTTGGGCCGTATGAACGAGCAGACGGGTTTCTTTTAAGCTTGGAGTATTTAAGGACTGAAGGACAGGAACTTATGGAGTTCTTTGGAGGCTTAGCCTCTCCTCTCCCTAATACCGCCACGGTTGAAAGCGATTTCTCTGTCCTCAAATGGGAAAAAATCTTCACAGATCAAATCTTACTACATCTTCCCTGGAAGAATTATTACATAGTCGTCAAATTCGCTCTTTATTGAAGAATCAGTGCGGATTAGCACCGTTTTTTAATAAAATGCCGTATGTTCCGTATTTTGTTCCAGTCGCGCTCCGTATTTCTACGAAATACGAAATATAAGGAATATTCCGTGTATAGAGAGGCCTGGTTATATCGCTAGGCCCTTTTAAAGTGGTGCTCTATTTATAAATACCATTTTTACCAAAATTATTTTCGAGAAAAAACCAATGATAGCCAAAAAACGTTTAAATGTGGTTTCTATCAGATAGGTGACTATTCGTCATCGAATATTCGAATTCCGTAATCCTGCAACTTTCGTGACCCGTATCTTGTCGTTGGCAACGTTGCTTTCCTAACTCTCTAGGCCAGTTGCAGGTTAGTCTTCTTAACAGAGACGGACTCCTTTACGGAACAAGTATCAGCTTTAGTATGGCCTGAAAGTGATGCGGTTAGATGCAGCGTCCAAACAAGTTCTTTCTGTTTGCTACCAGTTTTGTCTCCTTTTCAGACGAGAGGAGGCGGCTGTCACTGGTGTGAAGCGGCAACGTCAACAATTGGTGAATATGAAGACACGGGATTGGCTTTATCTTAAACATCATACAGGTCAGCACAAATCCCAGTGAGAAATCTATAACACACTTGGTACCAAAGGAAAAAATCTGTTTTTATTAAAACTCCCTTCGGCGACACGATGCACGCCCATTTTGTACGATCCGATGAAATGCTGCACTTTTCGTGCTGACATAGATATCGTGGAAACAATAATCTGCGAGGCTTTTCTCAATCTAATAAATCTCACTGGACTTTCTCATGATCGAGCTCTTGCTATTCCACCAGCAGGAGGATGAGCATGGCACAGTTATTGGATATCAAGCCGCAATCAAGAACGTCATGCAATTAAATCTCGTGGCTGATTTCCTCTTTCACGGGCTCTTATTTCGGCAAACAACTGTGTCGCTAGAATCTGTCAAGTTACGCTCATGAGCTAGAGAAGGCTGGCTTAGAAACCGGCCGATGATTGCAAGCGTTATTGTTGCGATCTTAAAAAATATTTTACATCCAAAGGTCTTTGTATTTATGTTGGATGAATTCCGCAATACATCCTGAAATTTCTTACCTGATATGTCGTATTTGCTTTCAACATAATGGCGATTTGTTAGATCTTCAGTTGCTTGCTATTCCTATGTTCGACCTTCACATGTCTGCAAATATTTATCGACTGATTGTTTCGGTGCTGGACAATATCTGTACGTCTCGGGAACTGAAACTGGTTGGCCTTGACCTCGTTGTGTCAACTGTCATGACTTGATACGTAGCTGCGTCGTGACCAGCCTTGAACGTGGTGAATTGGCAACGCGTTCAAAAAATCATAGGAAACTAAACTAAACGCAACATCTAAATAGCTAAAAAATATAAATAACTTGAATTGTTTTGGTACGATTGTTACTTGATTAGTATTTAAGAAATGCGACAATCTATTCGGATTATTTTTCGCATATTAGATAAGTAATACTTGTAGTATCAATGAGCTGCAGCCCTCGTCCTGGCATTCTCCCGTAATTTCAGCTATTTCGGCATTCTTTCATCACATAGACAACAGCATCAAGGTTTTGTGGTCCAGAGTATTAACTATGTGTCATCAGAGTACTGGAACCTCAAGACTGGTTCAGATGCTATTGGATTTGACCGAAATCGATAGACCCTGCCACCAGATAAGATGAACGCTCGACAAGATTTCAAGAATATTCTTGTGACTGGTCGTTTTAGCATCAGTCCATTCGGGGAGTTATTAAAGATCTTGGGATCGAAATCGACGAAATTGTGGACGCGCGCGAAGACGATATGCATCTTGAACTTATACGAAATGTTAGTAGAATTATCATCAGTTTCATTGCCAAAGTCTCCAATCTCTTTCGAATCGCAATTCTGAAGTCGGCCTAGTCAAATCGATGCACCCGAGACATTGCGTCACCAGCTTTGCCGAATCAAAAAGCTATTGCTGCATCATCGCACACGATCGGGAATCGTTTGGGGGCTGCGCTGCGGCTCGCTTGTCAATCCAATCCAGCCTTCAATCAGTGACTCGACATTTGCAATGATACAACAACCTTTAAAGATGGATGGGCAATCATAAAAGGTCAATTTAGCATTATGATCGCTTACAGAATTTTTCGCGTTCATTATTAGCACTTCGTCTGTCGTGTCTGATTTTTAAAATTTGTTCGTTTTAAAGTGACATATCACTGGAATTGACAAAAAAGTGGCTCTGAGACAGACAAAGAATCCCCGACGTTTTAATACATTTACTTATTTACCACTTTTAATTCCGACGTAGCATATTTTCTCAAAATTGGTATATACCAATTTTAAAAAGGCCTGTGCATCACGGCTCACGAGTGCAGGTCTCGTTATTGGATACCAATACTAGCAATTTGCGATCCTAATATAAGGCAGAAGATAAGCTAAGTCGTTAGTGAAATCGGGCGTGGGCTCAATCCACAATCGGAAATGATTGTGCTTTAGTTTATTGCAACTGATTATTGCGAACTAATGTAGGGTGTTCACCGAGACTTGTCTACCTCAGTTGACGCAAGTAGTAAGTAGTCAAATACTTACAGTTCGTAAATACCGTAAAACACAGGGACAAAGGAACGATGATTTATGGTCACTACTTCTAATTGCGTAAATATAACTCCCTCTTTAATTTCCACTTCGATAGCTTAACCATTTGAGCAGCTCTACAGCGCTTAATTTTACTGATTTCTGGATGCAGCACAAAAGTGACCAATTAACGACGGCTGGAGTCCCACTCCACTCTCGACAGTATATCACGCCTGCCCTCCTGAGTGGCCACGTAAACAACACTCACTACGCTAAGCCATTCCTCTGCATAAGGTAAGAGTTACGTGCCTTTCTCCTTCCGCAAGGAGTGCGAGACTCCCCGCTGTGGAACTCACGACGGGTTCAAGTCATTGCTAACGAGTGGGAGCTGGCTCGGAAACCCCAGCTTTTTATCCACACCCACCAGAGTCACGCCGTACCTACTTAGATCATCATGCCGTATTAACGATTAGAAACCGTCTGAATTTGCTTACGTGCTGGGACGAAACTTCTACAGGTCTATACATGCAGCCCTTGCGCTCGCAAAGAAATCGCTTGCCACGAGCGTCAATTCATGCGTGTCTCTGCGAAGAATAATACGTAACACAGACGGCAGGGCGACATCCCAGCGCCTCCAACTCCTGTGAACTTGCAACGGTAAAGGCCCATTCGTATACACGGAAGGCTTAAATCGGTTAAAACGCTTTATCGCGTGTTGCTCGCTTCCAACTACTCGTCGGTTTACGCAAACGAAGAGGATAGAGAAAGTGACATTTATTATGGTCAAAAGACCTTTATCTACCATAGATTAATATATGATTCCAAATTTGATAAAGCAGAATTTATAAATATACAGCTATGCAAGATATATAGTAAATTTTTAACCACATACTCAACATGCGAAATGGGACTGACCCCCATTACACCCCTACTCAGAAGTAAATCTACGCGTATTTGCCTAAATGTTTCATCAAATTTCTTCCGACTCTGAGACTCGATTATTCGTGATCCCACACGAAGTGATACGCATCGAAGACGACTTGCGCCGACGACGAGCGCAGAGCAAAACAGCACCCCCATCCGAGGATGCAAAGGCACCTTCACCATCATCGAACTCGGATGATGCTCCAAATCCACGTCGAACGGCGCTTTCGCACTGAGTCAAACCCTGGTATCAAAAGACCAGCTTGGGCGGATGACGATTGCAATGAAGAGCCCAACAACAAGTTCAATTGTCCAGAGTATTTGCACTGCCGTGAAATCGAACATCGTCACGGATTTCAGGACCAACGTGGCGGTGGTAT